GTAAGGCCAGGAGCCCCTAGTAGCGTCCTTGCTCCTAGTAGCGATGCCCTTTGCTCCTAGGTCAAACATGTCACTACCAACTTTCGACCATTCCACTTCATGTGTTCTTTCATATACTATATCATATATCACCACTGAACTCCTGTGGCCTAGCAAACAAGCAGGTCCTTTAACATGTCAGTGCCTGAAGTGTTCTTGCAATCAAGAAGTAAGCGAAAGTAAGCATTCCCCCCAAAAAAAGACACCAAATTCGAATACATTCAACCCAGGAATTCGCCACTTGGCTCTTGCTTCCAAGGAGCAAAGCCGCATCAAAAATTCCTAACTGGTGTAGGGCATCTGCAAGCCTTGGACATCTTGCGGGCTTTGGGAACCATCTGAGCCTTTCAATGTTTTAACATAAAAAAACAGCCAAGGAGTTCTTTGGTTCCATTCTCAATGACTAATCAGCGGCTATGTATTCATGTAGAATCATGTAGTAGACATGGACAGCAATGGCCTCTTCGTAGAAAGTGGTCTTGATAAGATCAATTATTTGTGAATGACCAGAAGTCTAACTAAAACATCAGCTGATCGTTCCATTAAGTTTTAGAGTCAAAACTCAGTTGTCAGCGTTCTGTTGAAACATGTTTTGCAAGCAAATGACCCACAAACGAGGCTCTATAACTATGCTCAATAAAGCTGGGGGTGGGCATAGCAGCAGCATGATTGCTGGTCTGGGAGAAACTATACGCTTCTGGATTCTTTCATGTTTCATGGGAGATGGCCATATTCACATACATGTTGTACACATGGGGATAGGGAACTGAGTCGACAGTTGTTGATTGGGAATTTTAGGGACCTGCAGCTTCCCCGTGGTGTCCAAGCCTTTGCAGCTGCATTCCCTCTTGTGTACCATCGTGTACCAACTAACAGCGCACCAACAGGGGCAGTAGTGGCAGTAAGAGAGACTGTTGGCTGCAGCCCATGAGAGCCAATCAGCGACGCGTTTTTGACTCAGCCATCGCAACTCGAGAGCAAAGTCGATGACTTTAGAGGACCACAAACCAAGTCAACAAAGGGAAAATGGACTGTGATAGCTTGTAACAAACCGACAAAGCCATTTTCTACTACAAACTGGCGCGCAAATCGCACCAAGTCTGGATAGCCCTGCTTCTGCTGCGACTCGGGCAAAGGCATGCGCCTTGGCAAACTCCAGCCCCACATCTTCACCCACAAACATGATATACCAAGCCCTGCAAGCCACTCGACATATACATTCATTTAGGCAGTGACACGGTATCAAAACAGCTGCTCTTCCTGCTCCTCCATGTTCGGTTTAGGGTCTAGTGGTGGTGGCAAGCCATCTAAATGACCTCTGTGACACACTGGAGGCCAACGCTCACCGGATGACGGGCCCCGGTCGTGGAAAGACCCAAAACCGGCCCACCACTTCCATCCGGACAGAAATGCAGCTACTTTCTCCAATTCTTGGGAAAGTTGGAAGACACTACTTCTTTAAGGGGCTCACTTCCATCATCCGTTTTCGGAAAGATTAAGCAACACCAAAAACATTCCAAACATCGTCATTCCAGGCCGACCTCGAACGCCATTTGAGGTTGTGTAAAAACCCCTCTACCTTTCCCTATACCACTCTTGACCTTATCGTTTTTACTTCCTTATCGCTTTACAGCACGTTGACTAACTGCAACACATGTATATAGTATAATGTAGTGTGTGCCACTACATGCATGTGGTGTGTGGAACCTTGCAGGCATGAAGACATTAGGCACACTTCATTCCAACGACTCCCATGTGGTGGCCTGCCTACGGAAAGGTGTTTTAGGCTTGCTGTGAAATTGTTTTTGTTATCGTTTTCATGCCTGGCGCAAGGTGGAAAACCACGTGGCACAACAGTGCTGTAGCACAAGGCTAGAGCGGTCCAAGCCCTCCCACCTCTGTCCAAGCACATACCCACCAAGAGCAACAGTAGTAGGCTTTCTGTTTGTGTGTGTGCACGCGTTCTCTTCACACCACTTCTCGTATGTCAAGGGTTTTCCACAAGAGTCACCGGGGGTTATCGTTTCTTTTCTTCCTTATCGTTTTACAGGGAATTGGGCATGCTTCCAGAATAACGGACATGCGAATATTGTAAGGGGTGGTTTGATACTCTCTCATTTGAGCACCCCCGCATCAAGCCCCGTCCGCAGGTACATCGATCTCCTCACCGGACAGCTGTCCGGCCCGTTTGAGGGCTGATAGTGGATCTGCCCGTACCAAAATAAAGCGGTATTAGAAACTATGAAATTGGGGGAACCGCAACAGACCCAACAAGCAAGAACAAGACTCTTTTTCCGGTGGACACAAAGCCCCCATCGAGTCTCTGGCTCCTAAGTGCTTGCCTTGAGTCGAGCGTGGGCGTCCAGTGCATTTTCACACCGGCCCTACTCTAACGGCCAAGCGAGACCAAGAGAACGTCATGCGTGGTGCATTGTGTTCTATGGCCTGTTTCGGAGAGTGACCAGTAACCACTGTTGCAAACACACCTGAGAAAATCCGAGTTCATTTTCTTAGTAAGGGGATCCGCGATCATGTTATCACCAGCAACCCAACGTAGGGAACCCCCTGATCTATAGAGATCATCCTTGAGTATGGCTATGTCTATAGCCGTTCTCTTGTCCTCTACTTGAGAGTAGGTACACACCAGCTTGTTGATGCAGTCGTATAGCGACCGAGAGTCAACTACGGAGACATAGGGGATGGATGCCAAATGCCGCTCCCAGTCCTTGGTCTCCATGGTCGTGCCCATCAGTTCGAGGAGGAGGTAGCGGTGCCAGTGGATATGGCCAATGCCATGTACCAGCGACTGGCATTCTGCGCTCAGGGTGTTGACAGTCTTCCTTTTGAGCTTTGTTGATTTCCATGAGGTCACAGAAACCATGTGAGGTCGATCTTCGGTTTCCATTCTCTTGTCATAAAAGATCATCACATAGCCTCCTTGGCTGCTGCAATTGAGGAGCTTGAGGAAGGTGTCATTGATCTTTCCATGTTCCAACTCGTGTCCAGGAAGCTGTTTTGTGAAGATGGTCTTGCCGGTCCAAGGTGAGTCCGTCCAAGTTCGGACACTATTTCCTTTTGTCCAGTCATCTTCTAGAACTTCTTCGTTTGTAGTCATCGTTCTGCGACCTGGTTGTAGATCGTGAAGATCTGGTCCTGGATCGGCTCCTGGATGGAATAGGACTCTTCTGGGAGTGACATGATGTCGAATCCAGTGTGAGGATTTCTCTTCCCAGTAGTCTTGTGAGCTAACTTCCAACTGATCCTGGCTTTTGGCGTTGGACCATGATGCGTCCGTTGCAACTCCGATTCGCAGGTTCTCTGGTTGGATCGGCATGATCTTGATGCCGCTTGAAGGGTGTCTTCGAGCCTCCTGAGTGATGGAGTTTGCCTCGATGATGTCCTTGATACGAGGCTTGGGAAAGACCTGCTGAAGCAGAGCTACTCTTCCGGCCAAATCGGGCCTACTTTCCTTGGCAAGCCAGGCAAGAGCGCCGATGCTGGCTCGTAGTTGGTTGATCTCCTTGTCGTCACAAAAGGTGTATCTCTTTTTCTTTCGTTGTTTTTCCAGGTTGATTTCGAAGAGCTTCTCCTGGACGTAGTTCTCCTGGTTCACGATGATGCTCGAGTCCTCTTGCTGAGTGAACATTTTTCCAGTGAACTTTCCTGATCCATACTGGAATTTTCCAAGCTTATATTTCACTTTGATCTGTTCCATAGCTTTTTGATGTTCGTCGTCACCTCCATGTAGAAGGTCATCCGTAGCGACTGCAATGACGCCGCTGAGGATCGGTTTACCAGTGTTTGGACAGTCCCGATGCTTGTAATAGATGCATGGATCTGCTAACGACTGCTGGTAGTGCAGTTGGCTGGTCAGGAACTTCTTGAGATGATTGTACCATGCCAGTGGGCCGTCAGTAAGCCCGTAGCAAACCTTCTCGAGTTTGAGGAGTTGGCACGGTGCGACACCAGGGATACCTTCACGAGGTGGAGTGGCATAAAGAAGTCGCTCAATTGCGTCTCCACTGTGGAATGCCTGGGTGAAGTCCAAGAAGCCGAGCTTCCAACGATGGCTTGCAACCAGTTGGGCGACCATGAGAGTCCCTTCTCTGGTAACCTGAGGCGTTGTTGCCTCGATGTCCTCGGAGCCTTCCTCACTGAACCCTTTCATCACGTGTCGGGCCTTAGCCTTGCATGGCTCTTCAGAATCCCAGTCGAGAAGGATCCCTTCCTGTTTGGCTGGTTCGACTTCGTGAGGTTCCAGTGGTTTTGGAGTGAGGACCAATCGGCTTTCCATGATTCGGTGTGGCATAGTTTGTCGAACCTTTGCTGACTCTTCTGGGGAGACAATGGAGTATGCCCCGATGTTGATGTTGTTGTTGAATTCCTTGCTGATTGCCGCCTTGAAGCATCTTTGATTCTTGACGCTGAGTTCCTGGAAGCGGATTTCCTTTTTCTGTCTTGTTTTCATCAGGCTGTCCACTTTGTTCAGGTAGATCTCCAGGTATTCGTGCCTCAGCCGTTTCAAAGGCGGTTGGTCGTGTGATTCTCCTTCATCAAATTCTCTTTTGTTGTTCTCGTCTATGGTGGGGTGTTCTTCTGGTTGTTCTCCTGATCCTTCTTCAGCAGGAAGTTCGTCATGATCTTGTTCTCGCGGATCTTCTGCTGCAGGAGGTTGAGGAAGGTTTTCCTGTGGTGCCTTTGTTCGATACCTCTTTGCTGGAGGTGGGTAACCAAGAGGCTCTTGAAGTCCGTCTAGTCCTGGAGCCGTTGGAGGTGCAATCGGTTCATCTTCGGGAGGTTCGGATGGCTCATAGTCCATATCTTCTAGATCTCCATCAGCCAGTTCAGGAGGTAGAGGTTGGTCAGAGAGGTCAAGGAAGCCTCGAACAGGTTCCGTGTGGAGGTCCTTTTTGATACTGACAATGTCGTCAAGCCAACCGGAGAGAGCCATGTTCTCCTCGGATGATGCCCTCCGAATGCGTTCCGGACTTGCCTTGACTAGATTTGATTGGTACGCTAACCAGATAGTGCTGGGCTGGTCGATCATGATGATGCGAGCTGGTCCCTGCCAGTATCCAGGTTTGAACTTGAGCTTTTTGTCCGCTCCCATTCGATAGAAGTAGACGAGCTCGCCGATGTCGTAATCGAGGATCGGTCTTGGTCCTGATGAAATAGCTCTCCGCAGGGCGTTGTCGGCGTCGGCTTCGATGAAAGCCTGAGCTGCAGCCTTCCGAAGCTTCATGGATCTTTCGACACTAAGGTCGCCGACTTTCAATGCTGGAGCATCTTCGCGAGTTCGATGTCCATCATCTCCATTTAGTAGCCCTCCTGGTAGGAATGGGTTGAATCCCAGAACACGTTGACATGGACTGAATCCTCCCACGTTCATCATACGGTTCTTTGTCATGGTGGTGAGGTCGACCATTTCTTCCCATTCCTGCATGTTCCCGCAGCTGTAGGTGTCCATGGTTTTCTGGAGAATGTATTTGAAAGTTTTTCCATGTCTTTCAGTGATGCCTCTTTGATGTGGTGCCTCCACAGCCGCTGGATCTATATAGGTTCCATCTTGTTCAACTTGTTCGGCGAAGGTACCGCGGAACTCACGTCCCAGATCCAGAGCCATTCTTTTTGGAGGTCCGAACAATCTCAGCCAGTGTCTGTAAGCTTCTCGAACTTGTCCTGGTTTCTTGTTGGGCAAGGGGATCATGAGTTGAAATTTGCTTGACCAATCTATCACGTTGAGTGCTGGTCTAGAGCGATTGCCCAAAGTTGGCAAGAAGACCACGTCTACTCCAACACATTCGTTGAAGCTGAGTTCCTTGGGCGGCGCACTCCGTCGTGCGGGTCGAACTTGGGCATGTCGTTGACAGACACTACATGTCAGTCGTTTTGCTGCCTCAATAACCTCTGGCTTTGCCTTGGCATACCTAAGTATACGGGCAAAACGGTCCGGACTTGGATGTCCCATTCCGACATGTGCTCGATGTAAAAGTCGGTCCATAGTAAAGCGACGTTCCAGAGGTAGTGGTGCATTTGGTTGTTCATCTCCTTCCGGTTCATGGTCTCCTTCATCATCCTCACCTCGTGGTTCTTCAGCATGTAGTTCCCATGGGGGGCCAGGTAGAACTCTTTCGACTTGATCTGATCGTCCTGGATCGGCTTCGCTTAGGTGAAGTTCATGTCCAGGGACTTGTGGAGCATATAGCGTAGTTCCCTGATCTCCGTCTGGTCGATGTCCTGGGTGTAGTTCATGGTCAACCCGTAGTTCCACTGTCAGTAGTGAGTTCAGGCGATCATTCTCCAGGAACATTTGTTCAGAGGTGATGATACCTACCTCAGCTCCAATCGAGCGTGAGTAGGCCGCGAGGATGGCTTCCCGAAGACCTTCCGGATAAATCTGTGCTTTCTTGGACTTTTTGCCACCGATAATGACTTCATGTTGATGGTCGCCAGGGCATAGAGTGTTCAGGGCCTTGGCGATCTCGGGGCTATTGGTGGCGAAACCAGTCCGTTTTCTTTGAGGTTGGCCAGATTCTCCACGGAGTCCGTATTGGCATTGGTCTGCCTTCGTGTACACTACGTTCGGTTTGGAAAGGAGCTGCTCCATGGCACGGTGTTTCCAGGAGGAGGCAGCGTGAGGATGTTCCAAAAGGAACTTGATGCCCAAGTGATCGCATAATTCGCACAACTGCAAAGCAAACAACAAGAGCTGTTCTCCTTCCGACTTCCTCTTTAAATACTTTTGAAGAAGAGCAGGAACTCGTTCTCGTTTGTTTTTAGACAGGTTTTGCAACTGTGAGTACATTTCACATGGTGGTGCAATGCAAACCAGTCCAGGCCTAACATCTTTCACATACTGCACGACTTCGTTTCGTTTGTTTGCTTTCAACAAATCACAATCCAACTTCAAGTCAAAAGCACGTCCAGAATTGAGGTTGAAGCGATGTGCAATTTCTCCAAAACAACCGGGGTTATAAATCTCAGCCACAGTTCTAAGTTGTTTATGTGAAAGTCCCATGATTTCAGCAATCTCATGTGTCCTTTTCGATCCGTTAGGGTGCAGAGTAAACTCCTTGCAAAGTTCATCATTAAAGCTGCAAATCCAATCTCGCAGTTTCGCATCTCCATCCTGCGTTTCTGCGAGGATGTATTGGATCTGTTTCCAAAAAGCCACAGCCTTCTTTAAGGCCGCCCGGAGCTTTCTTTCAAGCTTTGGGGTCATTGGCTTGAAGGGCCCTTCATTCGGCGCCAGCGCAGGAAGTCCATGAAGTCCTGGTAGTCCTCCGGTTCGGTCATTCCTTCCTGAGGTGATGTGGGCGTTGGAGTTGTCGGACGAGGTGGTGCCTCTGAAGGGCTGCTGGGAGAAGCCGTCTCCGTGACCACAGTCTTCTTTTCTTGCCGGATCACCTTGTTGCAGTAGCGGCAGGTCACCTTGGTCAGGAAGGCGTTGGATCCCTTCCGATGAGTTGAGGAGTGTGGACAAATGTCCTGAACCATTCCCTCCAGCACCTCTGCATAGGACTTGGGCTTCTCGCCTGGTTGTTGGCGGTATTTCCAGCTGGTCACATCTTTCAATGGCTGGCATGGGACCCATTGTTTGAACTCGCACTGTTGTCCCGGGTATTTCGGGCACCGGAAGTAGATCTCCTCCTCGTGGTCGGTCTCTGTACTCAGGTGAATCTTCACCTGTAGGCCGCATCGGCAGCGAGGTCGGGGTCCGGTTAGGATCTCGATGCATGGTAGGCTGTCGATCTGGTCGCAGCGTTGAGTTCTCACCAAAGTCGCCTTCGGAACCTTCTTCTGGGATCCGTCCGAGTGTTGTTCCGGGTCGCTGATCATGACGAAATTGTCGGACAACTCGACACGACGTTTCATCTCGTTCTTGGCCATCTTGGTCACGTGGTGGAGGTCCTCGTCGGACATGTTCTCGATCAGGCGTGTCAGAACTCGGCGTTGGGACTGTGCTCCCATGATGGTCTCCAAGAGGTGTTCGAACAGGTACTGCAGTGGCATGAGCACAACCAGTAGCCGACGAGTCAATTGGATCCAGGCTTTCACAGCCTTGTCCTCCGGATTCAAGGTCTCCGGTGGAGTAGGTCGGCTGCGCTTCTGGCCGGTGTTCTGCATGGCAGGCGAGAGAAACCGATGAGATCGATGCCGGGATGTCTTGAGTTTTGTCGGGCTCCGGCGGTTTCATGCACTGTTCATTCAATTTCAGGACCTCAAATTCCGGGAGCGAAGTTCCTAGCTGCTCGGATTGGGCTCGTTGAAGTGCAGTCAGTTGGAGTTCCGTGAACTGTTGGAGTGGAATTCGAAGGGCTCCGGTCGGTCCAAGATGTAAGGGGACTGGTTCGTGGCTCCCGCGAAGTCGGAGCTGGAGACCTTTCTCAAGACACAACCCTATGTCACCATGACAATGAAGGAGGAAGCTGAGGGACAAGAGGAACGGTGCATTGGTGCTCTCGTCGCTGTCGAAGACCGCTGGTTTCAGGAGACTGCCTTTCAGTCCCAGTGAACTGGGAACACTGGCTACCTGGGTGGTAATCGAGGTTTTGTGGACGCTCCTGAACTTGTTGGTCTCGGGATGAATGGTGATCTTCAGGCCAGGTGGTAGATGTTCACTGAACTTCCTCAGGGTCGTTGCTCCAATTGCCAACCTCTGGCATCCAGTGTCAACGGTGGCGCATGTAGCGTCGTCGGGGGTTAGTTGGGAGTACTGGGATACCAGATCGCAAAACATGTTCTCATAGAAAAACAAACTGCTAACACCCAAATGGCCGTTCTCACCCATTCCCAAATCCAAAACCATGTCACTCTCCATATATGACCGAGCGGTCGAGCAGTGGTTCGAGGCAAAAGCTACATCTGTACAATCGGCATGGTCTTCGATTGAAGTCCTCAGGATGCGCGGTTCAGGTGTTCTTGTCCGGGTCATCTCAAAAGGCGAGGAGCTGGCTGGTACATTGCTGGAGAGGTTCTTGTCGATGAACTCTTCCGTCTCCAGACTGCCCACAAAATGCACCTCGGGTGTGTTTTCCAAAAAGTGGGTCTCGTTCGTTCGAGATGTGCCCGTCGATGAGGAGCTGCCTGGTTTCATGGGAGGGTTCTTGCAATCTCGTTTCCAGTGGCCGATCTGGCCACATTGTCGGCAGCGGGTCCTCTTCTGCAGCTCGGCAATCGTCACGGAATAGGATCCTGGCCGTAGAGGTCGGTCTCGATCTCCCCGAGTCGAACTGAAGTTCGGTCGTCGACCAACTCCATAGCCTCGGGCGAGTTCCTTGGTTTTCTTGTCCTTGATCGACTGAGTATAAGTCTTCCTCTGCTGGAGGTAGGTAGAGAGGATCTCGGCCGCCTCCGATTCACTCAGGGCGGTCTCTTCTGATTGCCCTTCATCCTGGAGCTCCATGATGTAGTGCTCGATGTTTTCGATCTCCTCCTGGTCGGTGCCATTACCCTCAATGACCTCCTCAGTGGCATAGACTCCGTCATACTCAGTGTGGAAAGCGCCGGCTGCCTTCTTCCGGTCGGCCCCAAGCTCTGAGGCAGACAACTTTGTTTCATTCTTTCTCAACCAGCTCTTGATGGAACTGGGCTTGATGCAACCGTGGGTGTAATTCAGCAGGGCCTTGGTATCGCTCTCGGTCAACTGCAGCCCATTGATCATCAAGAAGCCTTCATACTCGGGTGGAAGCACGATCTTGTGTTGTTGAACTTTCCGAATGGCGTTGTCCCACTTGGCGAAGTATTCCCTCCAGGACTCTGTCTTCTGCCTCCGGAGGTGGTAGGTGATGCGGGACATGGCCGTCAACATGTGCTCCTGCTGGTCATCTCCGAAGCGTTCAGGCTTATCCATGTCTTCAAGAAGACGTTCAGCACCTCGTGGATCTCCGAGCCAAACAGGATCTTTTGCCCAGTGCTTGTAAAGCTCGAAGGGTGCTCCTGTCAACATCTTCAACAAGAGAGGCCCTCGCGACTTGGCCTTGTCCTTGGTCGTCGCGATCCATAGTTGGGCCTTGATGTGATAGTCCTCGAATGGGGTCTGTCCATCCCATGATGGTGGAGGTCCGGAAGCCCCTCTTCCTTCTCCACTATCATCACCTTCTTCTTCTTCTCGCTCACGGCGGCGCCTATGACGTGTCGGACCGCGGCCTTCTTCTCTCTCCATCTGGAGAAAGCGTTGGAACCGAGCGAAGGCTTCCCGGTCACTCCCTAAAACGTCCTGCGCGCCCTGAGCCCCCGTGGAGCCAGCAGCTGGCGAGCCGCCGCCTGGCGGTTCATCCAAGTCGCCATCCGAAGGTGGAATGGCCTGTCTATCGGCCATTCAAAAACCTAGACGGGATGGGGGCTGGGGACCACCAAGAAAAAGAGTCGAACCCAAACCAGCCCGGTCGGAACCGGGCTCCGCTACCACTATGAAATTGGGGGAACCGCAACAGACCCAACAAGCAAGAACAAGACTCTTTTTCCGGTGGACACAAAGCCCCCATCGAGTCTCTGGCTCCTAAGTGCTTGCCTTGAGTCGAGCGTGGGCGTCCAGTGCATTTTCACAGAAACATATAATCTTCTCAGTTATGACATGTCCAAGATGTGCAATTCAAGCTTATGTGTTCGGTGAAATGGGAGCTCTTGACTTGGTGCGAAACGCTGTTGGCTTCTCTTGGAAGCAAGGTATGCACTATCCCACTCCTCCGGTTCGTTTGTTTCTCGTAGTTTCGACTGGCAATTTTTCTGCCCTGGTGAGGTTGTCTCATGTTCTAAGCCCATGTTCTAAATCAGCACGGCCTTTTGCGCCAGGATCCTGAAATACCATCGGACAGTCTTTGCGCATGATACTCGTCCTTTTGAAGCAACACAGAGTGAAAGAATGAGCGATGGGTGGTTTCTTTCTGCAATTTGATACCCCCTCAAAACTCTTGAATTTTGGCTCTATTCCCAAAGCGTGGTTTGTTCCCAAAGCGTGGTTTGTATTGGGCTTCATCAATGAAGAATGCTTACTACGGATACCTGCCAAGAATTCTGGTGAAAAGCTATCTCTCTTTACATCCTAAATCAACGCTGAATCCAAGGGCCACATGCCACATGACAGTCCATGTATCTTGATGTATCTTGAATGAATGGAGCAGTATTGGTATAAGCCAAGCCCAGGAACACCACCTTGCTACTAAGTGTGTGTTGCACACGAGCCCTTGCTGCCCATGAGCCCGATGAAGAAGGGGGAGAATGTATATCGGAGGATGCTTCGCTGCAGGTTCACGTGACCTGGCCCCCCGCAAGACAGTCTCCTAAATTAAAAGCAAACAACTACAGTGGCAGTGACACCGGATGTTGGGTGGTGCATGTCAAATCCAGCCTGCACCCCATTCTTGGGAAGACCGAGTGCGCATGTCCTGGCCAAACGGATATGGAGCCTGTCAACAAACAGATTTGCCGACGAACCCCACTGTATGATGACCAAAATCATAGCAGTCCCTGCAGATCTGTACCGGTACATACCTAAATTCCTACCCTCAGGTTTTGAAGTACGAGTGACTGATGTACGGAAAGAATCTCTCAAGAAATTCAGGGTGGAGGAACATAGAAAAAAACAAACAAACACATGTGTTTATT